AGCCGAAGCTCGTCTTCATAATATTTACGAATCCAGACCGTACCGCGAAGAAAACACTTCACGTAACCATTAGAAGTCGAATCAGGCGGTACCACATAAGATTTAACAAAAGAACATCCCGGTCAAAGCCTTAATGAGTAATGAAGTTGTAAGCAGCCAACATGAACGGCCTATCTCAAACATAATTAATTTATTGTGGGATGTAGACATTCTGAAATGTCTCTAAGAAATATCGTCATTTCGTCAACTTTAACTTTTCTGCAAAGTGTGACAATAAAAATTGCGTTCAAAAAATTTCAAGCATTAGAAATTTGTTTTTAATATTTTTACAACGGATGCACCAAATTAGATAATATTAGACGCGAAGATAAACCAAATAAATAAAAAATAAAACAGGGTGTTACAGATAAAACGTAGTTAACCTGGTTATAATATAAAATTATAACCTTCTAAAACTCATAGTTCATTGCAAGTATGAGTTTAAATATAAATGTTTTGTAATATGTTAATAACATGATATTAATTTGAAATTATTACAGTCAAAATAGAAGTATAGGACTTAGAGGTACCCAAAAGTCTGAAATTTCTTGCGTTCTTAATCTTTTCCAGACATAACGCCATATTCCTCATCTCTTGTCGACTCATGGACCGCAAGGTTACGAGAACAATTTATTTAAACGTAATGACTTCGTAAAAATGTCACTAACTTAGGCTAATATCGCAAATAGGTTCATATATTACTCAATTAATATCTTTGACAACTCAGTCACTACTGATATATTTGGCTCAATGATTTTCATTAGGCCATCTTTCAATACGAGGTTGTTGTTTTTTTTGAAAAACTTTGCTACACAATATGCAGTTGTCATCTCTGAGGCTTGAAATATTTTTAATTTCTTTCATTCTTAATGTACGAGATTAAAGTGATTTAGTAAAAGTCAGTGGACGAAACCGAATATATATTTCGTTGTCACAAATACAATATTTGTAGCATAAATTACATAATAAATTTCAGCTACGCAAATTCTGAGTGTGTGAGATCACACGATTGATAACATAAAAGTCTGTCTTCGTAGCTTTTTAGAAATGTAGCATCTTTTCTTGGCGGACAAGCTGAGCGACTATTAGCTTTCCAAGAGGGAGTCTTCTACATGGGGTTAGGACTTAAGAGAGGAATTGTGTTTTATTTTGGGTTCAAATTCTTGTACAAAACGCCAATTCTATATAATTCTTATCATGCACTTGCCATATCGGAAGTTTTTCAAAACAAAAGTAACATATCTTATTGAGGTACGTTTTGAAAAAGTTGTACGTCAGCGTACAGTATTTTGATGTGTGCAGGAGACACACACGTGAGCCTGTGACTAAGATTTGAAGACGTCCGCAAATAAATCATCTTCATTTTGACACAAGGACGTTCGTTCCACTGAAGATTCCAAATCACATCGAGGTTTGCGTTACTTGGACCATACAATTTTACGGCCAGCCTCGTCCAAATATTTTCCTTTGAAGCGAGCGTTACACAATCAATCAATGTCCACAGCAGAAACATTTAATGCATGTAAGATTTTAGGTTTTCACGGCCGTGAGTCTGAAGTTTTCTGTCTTCTGGGTTGTGGCGCCGTGTAGTCTGGTAGATGTTAACCAACGTTTCGGAGGTCCTTGCTGCTTCCATCATCAGGGCGATGAGGATGAAGATTTCTGTCTTCTGGGTTGTGGCGCCGTGTAGTCTGGTAGATGTTAACCAACGTTTCGGAGGTCCTTGCTGCTTCCATCATCAGGGCGATGAGGATGAAGATTTCTGTCTTCTGGGTTGTGGCGCCGTGTAGTCTGGTAGATGTTAACCAACGTTTCGGAGGTCCTTGCTGCTTCCATCATCAGGGCGATGAGGATGAAGATTTCTGTCTTCTGGGTTGTGGCGCCGTGTAGTCTGGTAGATGTTAACCAACGTTTCGGAGGTCCTTGCTGCTTCCATCATCAGGGCGTCTTTGAGATATAGGCTGTTTGTTAGGCAGCAGCCAGAGGTTTAATGCACAAAGCGATTATGTGGAATTTACAATCGTTCGATAGACAGGCCTAATATAAAATATCACATCATTTTTTTTTTGTTCAAACCTAAATTTAATGACACACGAGAATACTTCCATGCAGTGCACCAGCTTCCAAGTTCGCTTCTTAAAGATGCATGTAGAGGAATTAATATAGGCCGATACGTACGACAGGCATCAAAATGGCGTCTCACATCCAGTAAACCCTGGATTTTATTTTAAAATAATTCTAGACGAAGAACAAGCAGCTGATGTTAACATAAACATGTTAAATGTTTTGTATTTCACTCGTAAAACGAAAATTATTTTTACTGTAGTGTTGACGATGATTTATGAATACTGGTGTGTGCTGTCTAAACTTTGTCCTCAAGACATTAGCAATGTCGCGAATTTCCGTCGATCTTAATTTTTGATGATATCTGCACCATCGATGCCAACGATGTGTTAAGAACGACGCCATTGTATAAATATGTTACCAGCTGCACAAAATGGCTGTGTTTACTTAAGTTACACTTATGATTAAGATATAACGTCGATACAAAATTGAATTTTGTTCTAGAAGTAAATTTGATCTAACATAGCGAATACGTTTAATTGAATGCGTGTAATAAAATTCAATCAGAAAAAAAAGACAGACGTGAATTCCCATAAAACGGGACAATATTATAGCCAGAGCACATCCAATTAATAAATCAACTTAATAAAACGTAAAATGACAAGATATTTTAGATGTGTGGACATGTTTGGTAAATATTACATAGTAAATAATAATGTCGATTACGTCATGAAGAAATTAACTCTGACATTACGTTTACTGTAGAAAAATAAACAAGCAATTGAATTTCTGGATCTCAAAATCGAAATATTCCACAACTGACACAGCCGAGTACACATGATTATCTGATATTTATCTGGTAAAAGTTAGTTAACTTATATTTTTTCTTTTCAAATGATTCTCACAAGTTATGAAGATGGCAAGTAGTTGATCGAAACGTTGCTTAATATGTGATAGTATCCCTGATATTGTGAATTTATTGACGTAAAATAAAAACTGCGAATCCATGCGATACAATCAGGTGCATCAAATTGAGAAATTCCTTTCCTAAAGAGAGCGCAAGGTAAATTGAGTTGTTTGGACGGTAGTTAATGTAAGCCCACTTTTAAAACTACTTAATAATAAATTACACTCTT